ATCGCCTACATTTATTTCTCTCGTGAGTTTGGGTGTAATTTGATAGACCGTAATTTGTGGTGGTCTATGTGTGTGTCCATGGCACCCGCGACACAGGGTTTCCTTTGTATTATATTATATTATTATTATATTATATTATATTGTTATTATTATTATAACTACAGTGTAACAGAATAGATTGTGTAATTTTTTCTCAGCCTGTAAGTTCTCTGCTGAATATGTACCCCTCAATATATGTGATAATATAGTTGAAAGCCCTGTCTGTTTATAGAGGAGGAATTAATAATAACTTATTATTACATTGTATCGTTTTTACACAGAGCGAAACAGAATAGTAGTGAGAGGTCTCGGTAGATGTCGCTAGCTAGCTTAAAATGTTCGTGTGCTATTATTAGCAATAAGCAATACAATTTGTTCTACCAAGATATTACTGTATAATGTAAAAATGTAAATCAACTCAGAACTTACCTTAAGTGGCATAGAGTTCAACGTACATAATTTAATTTACAACAATTTTATTGGCCTAGAGACTTCAGTATGAATTGATAAATGTAAAAGAAATTGGGTTGTTCTGAATGAACGAAGTGGAAATTAATATCTCTACATTTCTAGATACATCCTATTAGATTAGGTAAAGAATTCTTATAATTCTTACAATTCTGCAATAGGGACGGGCAAATGAAAAAAAAAATATACCGATATATTTGTCGAGCGAAATAAATCGATATTTTCAGTCAAAGTCAATAGTAACATATAAATATTCTCAAAATACAACTATTAAGTAAATGTATGAAGTAGAGTTCGGAAAGTAAAAGACACATGTTGAGATGTAACAAAATTTTAAAGAAAGGTCAAGTAGAAAGAGTGTACTCGTGGTCGTCGGCTGTGAGATGTTGAAGGAAAGGAAATAAAAACCACCATGTTTTTAACAGTCTCTACTGCTCTACGCCTAGAGAAAGAGTTCATCCAGGTAAGAATGCCACCTTACCAATTTTTTCCACCAAGCAGTAATGTGGGCATTACTACGTTCCGGTTTACAAGGGTAAGGGTGCTGGTGAAATTACAGGCACACAGGACTTGTCAACTTATGATTACGATTTAAATTTACTTATGATTTAAAGGTCTGAGTTAGTTAACCAGATGGAGCACGACTTGTTCGTCCCGGCACTTGGTGTCATGAAATAGTTATTTGTTCAACAAGAGAGCAAAGTCGTTTTTTGGTGCGAGTGCTGTTTTTGAGTCCTGAGCAAGCGAAAGATTCTATAGTTGAATCACGAGCGTAGCGAGTGATTCAGAATTAGAATCTTGAGCGAAGCGAGGGACTCAAAAATACGAGCTGCAAAATAACTTTGCTCTCGCGTGATACATACAACTTTTCACCTCAGCAGCCGGCCGATCTTTTCAAAAACGCAATCAGCTTTGCGTAAGTGTTTATATGGACGTTATTTTTAGTTTGTAATGTAGCTTTCAACATCGAATATATACTCCACATCGTTGACGGCTGTTTTGTATGCGACATTTCAATGAAATAAGACAGAAGCACAGTTTCCGACATAGTGTTTCCTGCGCCCTTTTCGCGCCTCCATTTGTCAAAATGTTCGTAGACTTTCAGGTACTTTTCACGAGATTTACTAGGCAAGAAACTTAGTTCAGCATTTTTAACAGTTTCAACTAACTCTGGAGGAGTTAAAAAATTGTCGTCTTCACTGGAATCGCTCATATTTTCTATTTTATTACGTAGGTAGGTATCCAATTAACTATCAAAGAAGTACCTATCGCAAGCAAATAAGAAATTTTGAATAAAAAAAAAAAGAAAGCGCGCTTTTATTTATTGCGTTCCGGAACGTTCTCGCTTGTATTCATTGAAATCACACATTGTAAATATTGTTATCTTTAATTGACGTTATAAATTTAGCATATTTTTATTGCAACACTTGCTTTATTTTTAATGAAAATTGTAAAAACTAAATTATCATAGTATAAAATCGTATTTGTATTTCTCACATAATTTATCTTTTAGATGAATTGACGAGTTTCCGAACGTGCACTCGTTCAGCCATTTTGTGGGGGTCTACTATGTAGCTTAAATATCGAAGTACGAATAAACCATAATTTTCTTTTTCCTTTTTCTTGTAATGAAGTGAAAGGGACGGAGCGACTGATTTTGAAATATGTCGAATTTGTATTAGACCCCTTCGCATTAAATGACAAGTCTCCACTTAAAAAGCAAAAAGCTACTTTTTCTCACGGAGTGAGCAAAATAAGATTTTGCTCACTGATTTCACACAGCAAAATAGCCTTGTTCGAGCTGCTGAGGTGAAAAATATATAAAATGGACAAAGAGACTACCAAATGTAAAAATAGACATATTTCAGATTTCGTGTTAATACAACTGTTTATTTTATTCCACAAAGTGACGCTCAACAATCTATTCGTTTTATTTTTTAATAATCATGTAGCCCTTGCTGCAGCTGCGATAAAAAAAATGGAAAGTGATACTCGAAAAAAAATTGTTTTTGATATATCGAGATTTAAAATATCGACGATGAATATATCGATTATTTCATGCAAAATTATAGATATTTTGGTATATCGATATTTTTTACCCAAGCCTGCTCGACAAGCCTACACAGCATGCAGGAATGATGACATGCGCGTACGCAACGTCGCAGAACTTAGGCGCTTCGCTTAATCGGTAAACAACAACAAATACTAAATAATGTTTTGTTGACATTGTCGAGCACGTCTGTCGGTCAATGTTTGTGCCTACTCTCTCGTGTTTCGATGGGATGATAAACTACTCCACGTAAAATATTTCACGAGATATATAAAGTGGTATAAAAGGTTCCCGCTCTTACGGTAGCATTTAAAAGCTTGTTAAAGAGGTCTAATAATGCTTTAGTTCAATAAAAATGTAGATAATAAATATCCCGTCCCTTGATATCGTTGAAAAAATGTTAAAAGGGCATCACCGAGCAACAACTTTAGTTTTTATTGTAAATATTGATTGCAATTAAATCTGGGTGGGTCTGGTATTTGGCATAGGCGTCTCACGTGAGATAGTATAGTTTATTATTTATGTAGTTAACAGCACAATGTGCACTTTATGGGTTTCGGACCATCATGGTTATTAACACTGGCTGTCCAGCAGTGTATTTTTGGTTTACAAATTCTAAAATAAAATGTATAGGTAATCTATCTTCTTTCTATCATCAGAACTATCATCTTTTTACTAACATAATTGTATTCTCCACGTTTACATTTAGGTAATACTTCAATCTTTCTCTTAGAATTTGGTTATGATTTCAAGTAACAATGTTTAAAAGTGGGTACTATTGGTGCGGTTTGTTTCGCTTTTATATCAGATTTTATTATTTTACAAACGAAATAAAGCCATTTCAAAAATGTATACGTATACGTGTAATATGTATACGTGTTTTATTTTTAATCTTTTCCTCTTGCTGGTGTGCAGGAGATGGGATGGTTTAAGTGTGTCCGGCTCATACTCCAAGGGATGACAGTCATTCCGTCCGGGCGTTTGCCGTCTGTTCGCGACATGCCGTTTGACACGTTAACAGTGGCAAGGCCCGGCGGATGATGTTGAGAGCTGCATGCCGGGAGATGCGACCGGCGTTCAGCTAGCAGGAAAGACCGTGGTGACCCAGAGCACTTACGTCTTTGCCGCAAGGACACCGATGGGGGGAACAAACTGGGACACCAAGGCGGAGGCCTGTGGCTATACGCGTTCTATTCAGTTCAATTAATATTAAAAAAATCATTGGTATATGTAAAGTACCTATAATACAGCGGCTTTCTTGTAAAACTTATGAATATTTTTAGGAATCTCGTTGTCACACCGTGTGTAATCAGTGTATATATTCAAGTTTATTATATATTTTTTCCAAAGTGGTGGATTCAACACTTTCACTGTTATGCGAAATCAACCAAAGCCATTGGAGGTTGAATCGATTCTTGTACAACAAAGCAGAAGTTCACAATGGCTTATAAACTTTTCTTAAAAAATAATTGGGCTATAAACTAGATTATGGAAGTACGTGTAAGCCATTAATACTTAATTATGGTAGGCATAAGTGACATCATGTGGCCGTTAAATGATATTGAGATTAGGCAAGGGCAAGTGACAAGGTGTAACAAATAACTTGTGACATAATTTTAACTTCATTTATCGAGGCCAATCGTATTCAATTCACATAATAAAATCGTAAAGAAGCTGAGTCTGTACTTTAATATTTTAAAGTAAAATTTGTGCGTTCTAATTTCCGCAATGGCTGAACTAATTTCGATGTAATGATGGGTAGTGTATTAACATAAGCTTGAATTAACATTTAGTGTTTGTTTTATTTAAATCGTATGCCGAATAAAGAAGATATGCCAGTTTTAAAGTGTGCGTGTGCTAGAAAAATATTACACAGAGTAACGGGCGCAGTGGCAGTGTCCCTGAGAAGCTTGTGATTTAAAGCTCTGAGTGGCACTGCAACTGTTATGGGCAGGCGTGTCGCTTATCACCAGGCGCTCGACTTGTTCGTCCCCGCACTTGGTATCATAAAATAGATCTACAAAATAGTATATATATTTAAGCCACAATAGCGGTTTTAATCGTAAAAATATGTCGAAAATTATTTACATTATCTTTATGTGTACTTATTTATAAGGCATAATTACGAATTGAAAAAAATCTCGTTAAAGTAACTAATTCAACGACTTCTTGCAATTGTAAAGATAAATAACAGTCGCAATAATTACACAAATAATGTTTAGAAACTGCGAAAGAAAACTACACGTCTAAATAATTACCATTTTTTTCAATAAGGATGGTGAAAATAAATAGACCGCTGGAGGAAGATCCGCGTGAGGACGACTCCTTCATAGTAATTGATGTGGAATCAATGTATTTCTATTGTTCGAGAGATGTCATCAATAATGAGCGAGTGATGCGCGGCTGTCGGCGTCCGCGCCCGTATAAAGCGGTTACGTGCGTGCACGACGCCGCATTGCGCGCTAGATGGTCGACGGTGGAAATAGATCAAGTGGTGACATGAGGGGCTTATTGGTATTGGTTGTTTTTGGCGTGAGCTGCCGGTGGGCTAACGCGGGTTTAGGTAAGTGCTTCTTACTTACTACAATTTCTTTTACGGTATATTTCTTTTTGAATGATGGAGGGCTCGTCAAATAGATTTTCCAATGTGGTTAGAGAATGAGGCAATAGCAGCAGTCACCTCACGATTGCTATCAATTTGTAGGGAGAAGGTATGGTCATTTGTCAATTTGTTATCTCGTAACTGTACAGTAAAGACTGTTATGGAAACTGGTAACTAGGTATGTAAAGACAGACCTTTAACTTAATAATGATAAAAAAATCCTTCTGTACAATGTGCTCATGTTAAACTGATAACGCATGAAACACCATGTTTTATGAAAAATAGTGACTGGCATAATATTAATACGAGGTATAACAATTGTGACTTTTTCATTGGAAAGAAAACCGACCTCAAACATTTGTTCTTCGTTTTCCATGGGATCCCCTCAGCAGATTCTGACTTGGTGACAATGGGACCACCACGAGAGTGCATCCTTTCAAACAAAAAGAATTTTCAAAAGCGGTGCACAATTGACGGAGATATCTGAAAACATATAAATCTGATACATACAACCGAACGTATAACCTCCTCCTTTTTATCTGAAGTCGGTTAAAAATGAGAAGACGCTACTCCTCCATTCTAGCTCGCCTGTGCGGTAGCACCAACAGCCCCTGACTGTGTTCATAGACCTGTGGGATTCTCCAATCCCAATTGAATGAGAATTAGTTACAAACACTATGGTCAAGACTTTGAAATAAACAGTGGCGTAGCGGCGATTTCTGCCGCATGGGCCCAACCTCTGCCCCTTTATTTTCACGATTACAAAAGTAGTTCGTTTGAGCAGGCTCGGCTCGATTGTGGTTTTATGTTCACCTGCCGTCGCCACCTTTGTGTTGTTCAGGATATCATTTTCTCAAATAATTAATTTTATTTTCTAATTATAAGTAAAATAAATAATTCTCATTAGTTAAGGCTCGACGGCGCTCGCCGCCATTGGTGGGACCCCTCTGGAAATAAATACTTTTATTATTTATTAAAATAAACTAGCTTTTCTTGATAATCGTAATCACGAAGTAAACAAATTCATTTAAGAGGCAATGTATACTTACGCTTCTAAATAAGATTCTGGTTGATATTCAAAATAAGCCATTCACGAGGTTTAAAACTATAGGGAACAAAAACTTTTTAACTAAAAGTTATTATAAAGCTTCTGCGTACACAGTACAGTTTGTCCCGATCTACGATGTTTCAAATAATATTGTAAATGATAAATGTGTACAATTATTTATTGACAAGGTGCACACCGCTGAGTTTCTTGCTCATTATTTTCAGCGGGATCTGCCACTCAGAGTTTAATCACTATGACGATTACATGTGTAATTGGCTCACCCATGAAATAAAGATTATTTAACTTTGACTATTAACTATTTAATAATCAATTAAGACGACCACTAATAGGCGGAACGGAAACGCGCGACTATATTTTATTTACTGATGATCGTACTTATAGCAAAATAACAAACAAGGCGAGCAAAAAACATTTTAAATTCACTAGGAAAATGTTTTGTTTACTGACTTCACCGCGCAAATTTTTTTTTCAAATTTTTTCACTATTGATGTTTTGTTTGTAAATACGATCATCGGCTGAGTTGCAGTTTGACATTTTTGTTGTTACAACTATAAAGTTAACTGTGTCAAACGTGATTTTATTCAGAATAATAGTCGTGGTTCATTATTGCTTCCTGTACATATTATTTTAAAATATCACTCTCGTACACTGCTCTAAGTTTTTGAACTTGCGACTATAGTTTTGGAGTAGCGGGGAGAGGGAGGATAGGAAACATTGTAACTATTTAAAACAAAAAAGAAGGAGAGAGAGGAAGGAAGGATAGTGCTCCCAGAATATTTTTTAGAAGGAATAATGACAAAGTCAATAAAAATAATGTACAATTTAACTAGGTTTGTACCGACAATTGCAACAATTTCTCGGTGAAATTACAAGCACATAGGACTTGTCAACTTACGTCTCAGGTTGACGGGCGCAGTGGCAGTGCCAATCAGATCTTTGCGATTTAAATCTCTAAGTGGCACTGCAACTGTTAAGGACGGACGTGTCGCTTACTTCCAGGCGCACGACTAGTTCGACTCGTCGCTTATACAATCTAAAAAAAGATAATAATTAATTTTACTCTTTTACAAAAATTTCAATTGTTACCAGATCTGTAAAATCCACAATTTAAATAAGTAAAGCATTCTCACAGTCAATATGGCAAACATTACCTGTTTTTAGACTGTATCGTTATGATTCAAAGCGGATAAATGGTCACTATTATTAAATGTCTATTAGAGATACTCCTTGGCCTACTGTGGCCAGCTCCTACTTGAATTGCGCGCAGGTCAAGAATACTCTTGCTAGTATCCTATCGGTGGACCATAGATGTTATTATATGCTTTATTGTATCAAATAAATACAACATAAATATTAATTAAACAGAAGGCGTGCAAAGGTAGATTTACTTCTAATAACTTTTTATTTACGACGTCAAAAGTTTGCACGACTTTTTTTATTATTAGAGTTACAACTATTCGCCAAATTTTATTGTAATCGAAAAGTGCGCGAAACTGGATTCATCCCCGTGTTTGCCGCCCTTTTAATGGAACCAATACCCTCATTCCACCAAAAAAGAATCATCAAAATCGTTTTACAAATGCCGGAATCGCGCAACATATACAAAAAAATATAATCGAATAGGGAACCTCCTTTTTTGAGATCGGTTAAAAAGATTCTCTTTTAAGATACCGAGTGACGGGACGAACAAGTCGTGCGCCTGCTGGAAAGCAACACGCCTGTCCGTAACTCCGCAACTGTTGCAGTGCCAATGGTAAAGATTTGAGAGGCTCTTCCACTGCGCCCGTTTACCTGTAAGACATAAGTTGATAAGTCCCATGTGTATTTTCACTACTGCTTGGCAGCAGACATATGTAAGGAGACAGTATTTTTATGAATGATCTCTTTCACAAAGAGCTCTACTGCTGCTGAATTACAGTATGCCTTGGATACGATAAGAGAGGATTATGTAGATAATTATTATAATGCCAGTTTGTTACGGCCAACTTTTGGGAAAAATTATAAGTATACTAATTTTTGGTTTTATTATAAATCAATTAATAAAAAACTTGATAAAAATATCATATTTTCACTGCCTAAATGCCTACCCCATAACTAGGGAAACCTTTTGGAATAGTGTCGAAAGTCTAATTTTCCCGGGATTTTGGAAACCACACAGAAACTCGATTTTATTTCCCGGTATGCGAAACACCATTTCCGTTCCAAAACGGTAGAAGTTGGATGTCTTCAAAGGCATGAGAAAGGCATTTTCTAGGAGTCCCTGTACGATAAACGTACACGTCTTAACTTTGCGTCGTGTGAGATGTGGATAAACGTAAGCCTTTTAAGAGATCACTGTTGAAAAAAGCGAAAGACACCCTTTGAAGTTGATTGCTTACTATTAAGAAAATAACAAACAGCTATCAGTACCAGGACCTCGAGTCCGACGTATTTATTCCCCCACTTCGGATTTGAAACACTAAGCTCGTGGGGTCCCAGTGCCTTTTCTTTTTATAAAAGCATGTCTAGAATTTAACAGACCGTCTGGGAAACCAAAGGGCTGGCAGCTTGCCCAACGTATTAGCATGGAATGCTAGCCTAGGTGGAATGCTGCCAGCAACATGGATATCAGTTTTTAAACTTTTATTGTATTTTTATAGCTTGCTTGTCTTATACACGTACGTACTTGTAATATTTGATAGCAAACCATCTGAAAATGTATTGAATGTTCATATCCTGCACGTAACATGACCTACATTTTAGTTTTTAATTCGAGTTAATGTCTTTTAATCTTCGACGACTCATTTATGCCATTCCAGTAGATGAAAGGGGGAAAATTATTATCGATTATTAACGACCAAGAGCGTTCTGTTTAATGAATGTTTAATGATCTCCGTCAAAGGGTTAGGTTTGAAACATTAGGACATTTGTCGCGACCTCAAATTACCCATTATAACGTCTGCGCTACGCTGAAGATGGACGAATTGGAACACTAATTTGATTTGTAATGGCATTATATTGCATACCTTATATTTTTTTACCTTTTTAGACAATGATGGGAAGTACTTTGAGTTTCAAAGAAGAATTTATTCTAATTATTCAGTTTTTATTGAATATAACGATGTTTCATCACCACATCACCATGATATTCAATATTTTTTTGTGAAATTACTCCACTAGTTTGTTATAATTCATAATACAAAGATCGTACACTTAGAAAAAATTCCTTTGATCCGGCTGGATTCGAACCAGCTAAGCCACGGAACGAACAGCGAACCTTATAAGAGTTTATTCTGTTACTAATAATTATTTTTTCTATTTTAAATAATCAATTAAATATAACATATTTTTACAAATTAGACCAACATAAATATGTGCTCCACAACATTTTAAATAGTAACTTTTTATTAGTGGATAACTTTTTTTGATGAATTGCAGATTAGTCATTTATACCACGAGATAGGTACATTGTCTAAATTAAACAAATATATTTAACATGATTTCTGTTATTTGATAATATAATATTGTACTTAAAAAACCAAATTGAGGTAAGAGATAGAAAAGTTTTCTAAAGATATTCAATAAATTATTGCATCTAATGGCGTTCTTATTATGTTTAACTGCACAATAAAAGTATGTCCATGGGATAAATACGTATGATAGTGGCAGAGGGGAGGGGTAACACTTTTTCCGATCAATAATTGTTTTTTTTAAATATCACGTGACGGGACGTACAAGTCGTGCGCCTTTTGGTAAGCTACTCTCCTGTCCATAACAGTCGCAGTCCACTCAGAGCTTTAAATCGCATAGATCTGAGCAGTACTGCCATTGCACCTGTCACCCTGAGACATAAGTTGACAAGTCCCATGTGCCTGTAATTTCACCAGCACCCTTACCCTTCAAAACCGTAACA